CAGTCGCCTAAAACCTGTCAATTTGTTGGCAACTCAAATTAAATTCTATTTGGTATGTGAGCCGAAGTTGCAAGTTCATCGCGCGCTAGAAATGCACAGTATGAGGAAATGTTTGTACGCAATCCTACAGGAAATTTAATAGCAACCTTATTGTATGCTTCTTAAAAAATATCTTGGAGAGAGTGCAAAATAATTATTGCTAGAAAATAAAGGAGTACGTGTGGTATAAATAGCGAGTAGTTAAAGTTTGAAAATGGCAACATTGAGAAATAATTATGCCTTAGTAGTGATACTTTTTTATAAATGCACTAATTTTTTCTGACTAAAAAAATTCGGTCACAAACAAAATGTAGTCTCTTTGTAGTAAGGTCTTTAAGAGTCAAGGTTCCCTCCCTAACTTCAGGTTCACTCCCTATCTTCAGTGAATTCAATTGGTCGAGGAAAGTACTGACATTTCCGGGTCTACAAAATTTTCTAGTTTCACCTACCCCATACGCTTCCTACAGGGTCGCTTAAGCCGCCGATTACCAACTATGAGCTATAATCAAATGTAAGAAAGTTTTAAAAACTTTACAGTGTAGAGCACAAAAGAATATGTGTAACTTGAGTATGAACTATACGGTAACCAAGCAAATGCGAGAATGCTGATGTGGCAGCGTGAGAAGTTGTCAAGGAAATGATTGCCGACGATGAAAAGGGAACATTGTACTGTCATAAATAAGCAACTTCAAAGTATAATTGGGCTGATGAAACTTGTGTCGAAGAAAAAAGAGGCAAACAATCTGCTTGCAACATTTCCTTTTCCTTTTTTTGTTTTAAAGAAAATTGCCTGAAGACAAAGTGAAGTGAAAGTCAGAGAATTTACTTATTTAAAACAATTGCGAACACAATTAACAGAAAATACATAGCTGCAAATGTGGCAGCTTAAACTTTAATACACTTGGCTGTTGCAAGCAGAATTTAAAAGTTTCCATTTTTTTAAACTAAAACTCTGGTGCATGCGAGTAGATTTTGAAATATTTCTGCAGCTTTCCACTTAACTGGCACAGGCGCCGTCTTGCACAAGTCAATTAGGGGTATTGTGTGCAAAAATGCTATTTTGACCCTAAGAGAGTCACTGCAGTGCCGCAGCAACAGTCAGTTGCTATATAGCCGGCCAAAATAGCAGCTAGTCATTTGGGAATAAAACAGATTACTATATGTAACTGCAGATAACTTGTGGAAAGCAGTCAAGATGCTCTTTTGCCTGCCAAGAAATTTATTATACCGAAGAGTTACCAACGAATTTCGAAGTTGCGGCAACTCAGCATTGTTGCTATTGTTGCTGGACACGAGCATTTGCTTACAATAAATCATTGCTGCAATTCCTTGCTATTATGTCACTAAATGACCGCATTACAGAGTCTCAACTGAGCAATCGTTGAACTCGAAAGCCAAAGTTATAAATTTAAAGCGACAGGAATGAGACAGTGTGGTCCACATTGCAACGGTCGTAGGAAAATATGCCAGATTACTGCCGCAGACAGTGCATAAATATATATTTATTTATATTTTTTGGTTCATATGCGAACGCATATGTCACTTTTGGAGTCAAAGCAAGGACAAAACGTCAAATATTATATTTACTTACTGAAAGATTTTTTTTAACGTGAAAGTTTTATTTGACACAACTATTCGCAGGAAATATTAGTATTAAGTTATTGCAACCCAAACTCGAGTTTATCGTGAAAAAATATACTCAAAAACTGTATATTTATAATACAATTTTTTTTTGTTTTGTTTGAATGTGTGTACATACAAATTTTTAAAGCAGATGAGCAGATGACCCAATTTCGGTTAATCCACTGCTAGGTTCAAACTTATTTAACAGCAACGGCGTTTATGCCCTCATTACGCTTGCATTAGATAAATTGCAGTCAGCAAGAGATAGTGTCAATCTGCCCAAAGTACTCATTGATCCACACTCCGCTCATTCACTCATACCCTGACGCGGCACTGATAGTCCATAGATACTATCGCTTTTCTTTTGTACCGTCGTTTTGGTTTCAACTTTTGCAATTTTTACCTTCCCACCTAACTTTGATTAAATAGCAAGCGTAATTAGTTCGCAATTAAATTAATTAAATATGCTGGCGTTTTTCACAAATGAATTGTATGCTTCGAAAAGTTTTCATTGCGCTATTTATTTCTCTTTTAGTATATCCTTTTTTTCTCCATTTTAATTTGACTAGTTGCATGCACTGAAGTTTTGCTATTATTTGGTTGCATGCCTGAAAGTGCGACAAATTAAACACAATATTTGTTCGCTTGAACAATTATTTATTCAATCAATATGATTAAGCGCGTCCAAGTTACCTTTAAAGTGTAATTAAACGGGTTTCAGTTAAATTGCGACGTCTTTGGAAGTAGTAAGTACATATTTGACTAAACTTTAAAATGACACTAGTTCAGGAAAATTAATCATATATAATTAATTTGCGAGTTTAATTAAAGTAGTTAGCAAAGTGAGAAAAAGATAAATTTTAAGTGAACCCTCTTTTACGCTTTCAGATTAATTTTGTGCATTCCCTTACAGGGGTCATTTGAGCTTCATATAACTAGGATTCACATTTATCATTAGCGATATTTTCGATATCACAACGGAAATTAATATCGTTCTTGTCATATAGTGCTACTCTCCACCTTCAAAATTATGTATTATTTATAGATTTTGGTTCTATAGAACGGACGAAAAAGGGAGAATACCTAAAATGTACCCATAGAAAATGCGACTTTATTCAGTTGGCTCTACGCTTCTCACCATAATTCTGTGCTATGAATGCGTAATTTTTGTATTATATTGTCGTTTCTCGATACAGCATTTCTCACTGCCTCAATGCCAGCTCCTCAAACATCCCCACAGCACACAACTCTACTCTCGGTGTCATTAATAGCCATCTGCTCGATTTAAGGTAAAGATCAAAAGGCGAATCAATAGCATAGCAAGCTCGTGTGCAAATAACTAACTGCCTGACCTGGTCAAGGTTGCACGTAAACGTAATAAAATCAAGCGAAGCATAAGACAGAGAAAATAAAAAGAAAACGAAAGATCTAGAATGAAGTAAACTAAATACAAAAACAAAAAATTTCAGCAGCAGGAAGCATAAGTAAATGTCTTTTGAGTCTTTTGATCTGTAGGTTGATGGCATAAAAATAAGTAGACAAAGAACTTGTAAATCTGTGGAAGAGCCGTGTGTGAAAAGAAAGACAAAAAATATATATAAATGACAAATAGTGCGAGACATAGTGGTACAGCAACTAAAGGGCTGAGAACATAAACTGGAGCAAGAAGTAGACAGTTGGGGCAAGCGCCGAAGGGCGGCGTCATCAGCTGACGAGGATAATCGACTAGCCGTTGACCAACAAGCCACTATGCGCGCTTACAAAACACACAGGCGTTGCATGAGAAACTTAATGACGATGATAAAGTGGAGGAGAACAGCAGGTAATAAATTGCATTTCGCCTGATATGGGCAATTAAGGAACAATTTTGCAGTTGAATGAATAATAAATAAATTACCAACACACATACTAACACAAGCGCAGGTGAGCGGTGAGTATAGGTGGCGCAAGCGAAGGCGGAGGCAAAAGATAATATCAAAATGTCCACAACAAAAATACTACAAAATTACACACACTCACACATATATATATATATATATATATATATGTATGGTACATGCAGTGGCAATCAAGTAAATTTGTAATTTGTGAGGTTATGTACTAAAAATTTATTTGCGTAGGCGCCGCTATAAATGCAAATATGAAGGTCGAAGGTTGATGCTGAAGAAGTGTATTATGGATATGCATAAATATGTGCGCGCTCCAGCCAGTTTGAGCATGAGATCTTCATCAGAGTTGCGTCGGTCTATCTGTCTAACTGTTCGTGCGCTTGATTCATCTGCGTGAGTGAGTGAGTGCATGTGTGTGTGAGAGCCATTCCGTTCATTGTCGTCATACTCAGACGCGATGCCTTTCACCTCATCTACATGCAGCGGCCGCCCAGAGAATTCACCTAACATATCTGCGCAAGTAGCATACACACACACACACGGCCAACAGTCAAACCAAGATCTGAAATAGATATAAATCACAAAATTTTGAAGACGGACATTAATTTGCCTTGAAGTTGAAGTTATTGCTATTTCTGTTGTTATTGTGGTTTGCTTAGTTGGTTGTTGGTGTTCTGCAGATTTTACATAATAAATCAAGCTTAAAACTCAACAGCAGCGGCGGCGGTAGATGGAGCGCCCACATGTTGGCGTTGACTGTCGGATGTTGTCATGCAGTATTGTAGTTGCTGTTGTTTTTGTTATACTATATTAGCTGGTGGAGTTTGTCTGCACAGTCGCCTGGTTGAGTTTGTTGTGGTTTCATGCAATTTGTATGTGAGTATGTCTGTGTTGTCATGCTGTTGATGGAATTGTGTGTGATGGAGCGTGATTTCTGCGTCACTGATGCTGTGATTCATAGTAAAGCTATCTCACCGAAGCTATGTTGCTTCTAGTACATGTATACCGACAACGTTTGAGGATTGAGGTTTGCGGTAAGGCAAAACTTTCATAAATAAATCAATAGCATTGTAATTACCTGATCAATTCGTATGAAAATCATATTTAGCAGGTAGAAAATAGTTGATGGTTATCTTGAAATTGCGAAGAAAATTTAAGAGGCAACTATCATCATAAACTCGAGTTTAAGTTTGGATCTTTGAGAGCAAATGACAGCTGTTCTTATAAGCAAGCTGAGAAAAATCAGATTTGCAAATTTTGAGAAGTTAAGAGTAGGAAAAACTTTTAAACAGCTGCGACAGAGATCGTGATTTCCCCATACCAGTACAGAAAATTTAGTCGTGCGAAAGTGCGAATCAAAAAAGCTTGGCTTTGTAAACTTTAATCTCATTTAGTTCGAAAAATGGTGTTTGAAATATATGTATAGGAAATAAAAGTTTGTGTACTCACCGGTGTCGAATATGGATGCGCTGTCAAACGGATGCCATCGGTTTCCAATTGCTCGCGCAACACTATATCCAGCTCGTTCGGTGGCGTCTCACACAGAATCTCCATACTGCCCGATAACGAACTCGGATCGTTCAACAAAAAATAAACGGAAGCGGCACCTTTTTCACGCAATTGCCGTATACTCTTCAACAACTTGTGGCGATGCACGGGGTTTTCCACGCCAATAGCATCCAAATCGGGATCGCCGACTTGCTTGCAAATCTCTAAATCATCATAGCCATTATCCAGAAAGCTCTCCGCATATTGCGACAGTCCAAGGGCGCGTAGCCACTCGCAAACGATATTGCTAACGGCCATTGTGAATGTGGCAAGTTCGAAGGCGAGCGATTAACGGTAAACAGTAAACACACACACACACACACAGCGTAATGTCACTCGAACAGGTGCCTTGGGAGGTCGGACGCTAATGGCGCGAAGTTTTGTACCCGAGTTGTTGTTGTGCGAATTTAGCGTGTATGCGGCAATTAACGCGCTACAAAATGTCGAAACGGGACCAATTTACGCGCGCGTAATTATTGTTGACGGTTGGTTTGCTCGCTTGGTCGTTTCGTTAGCTTGGGTTGCTGGGACGCGTGTATATAGGAGCGCTCACATGTGGCGGCGCGCACTTGAAACGTAAGCGGTGGCGCGGCGCTGCTTGTTGCACTCGCACGTTAATAACACTTTATATTATTTATTTCACTAATTTTGCACTTAAATTTCGTAAATTCGTTTATTTGTATTTGTATTGTTGCGCTCTATTGCCGCGCAGTTGCACTATTAGGCGGCAGTAGTCACTCGGCTGCTAAGCGCACATACATACAGTTACACGCAGGGGCAACTATTAATGGACATTGGTGGTAAATGTTGCACGGCATGCAATTTCCGCGAAAATATTTCCATTTACCGTTTGTCGGGCTGGCGCGTCAAGGGGCGGTACACATTTCGTTTTGGCGCTACTTGATGTGCTATTTTTACTTTGCTTTTTGCCACTGTTTGGCGAGATCTTTGCTTGCGCGCTAATTCACCTAGGACTTATTTTCGTGCGCCTTTATTTTTGCTTTTACTACATAAGTGGCAGTTTAAATCAATTTGGCAGCAAACATTTGAACACACACATTTCTAGCGTTAAAATCGCTGCAATTTCACTTAAGCACCGGCGCGCGCACATACACGCACACAATAACAGTCGTGCGCTGTTACAGGAAGCAAGCGATTTTCGTAGGCGCATTAAGGAACAAATGCCAATTGGCAGTGGTGCTTTGGTATAACACTTTCAGTTATTATTTTTGTTGCTTTTTTATAATACTTTTAAACACGATCTAGCGCTTAGCGTTTTTTTCGCTTCACTGTGTAGAATGCTCGTTATGTACAGCTTTAATGACAGCGCTCATAAGATTTTACAAACGCGCGTACAAACATAAAAATTTACAACACTCTTGTTTTTGGTGGCATATGGCAGGAATGTGTTGCTTTGCCTAAAATAGCATTATACTCAATGAAAACGCTCAGACGGGTGACCTGCCAAACGGCACACGCAGCTCTGGTTACCCTGTGACACACACACACACACACATACGTGCATGTCGCATCGACACACGCGACACGGCGTTTCATTAAATTTTACACTTTTCTTGATATCTGTATATGCGCGCGCTTACCACTCGCGATGATAATAAAAATAATCGTAAAATTATGTATTTGCATAAGTAGTTACTTTCTAGACATGTTCGTCGCGTAATTTCATTGACTTGTTTTTTTTTTTTTGTTATAACATTTAGCAAGTGTGGTGGAAAGGTCCTCACAAACAACTCACGCACTGATCCTTACATTTTCTCAAAACGCGCCCACTCTCATCACAAACATTACCAAACGCTTCAACGGTCGCGGCCTGACTACTGCTGAGAAGACGGCTGTGGCTGCGTCTCGCGCTGCCATTTTCGCTCTAACACAGGTTCATCTTCAGAGCGTGTCCTCTACCACTCGACACCAACTGATAATGTTGCCACTGTGTTCTCCACAGCTGATTGCGCTCTCCGTTTGTATGCACTGCAATGAGAGAGAGAGAGAGATAGTTTATTTGTGTGAGTCTCGCTTCTTTCAAGGGTTGACTTCTTGCACATGCACATAAAGAGAACTAAATGTTTTTAAGTGGAAATGAAAAATGTTCTTTTAACCTATTTTGACAAGGACACAGACTAACTGCGCTTATCGGCTTTGACTTAAATGAATGTAAATTAATATTTATGCGAAATCAAAAAGTCCCAAATACTCCGGTCAACCAGAAGTGTTAAATTTTACGTCTGACAATTATTAAAGACGCACATTTCAATAAATTTAAATAAATATGCTGCAGCGCATATTGATAAACACAATTATATTCCCAGGCTACTAACAATCGAAGCCGAAGATTTGCTTGATATGCTACAGTGGGTCAGTATTTGACGAAAATTGAGTATTGACAAAACAAAATTCTTTAATGGTTATAACCTTTGCACGGGATTCGTAGTATTTTTTGAATATATTAAAAATAAACCTCACACTTTATTTCCAAAAAATATATTATTAATTTTAATTTACTCAATTTAATTTGTCTATTGGCTAGGTGTCAGTGTTAAAATAACTATGCTTGAGGTTTCCTTCAATATATTTCTTCCTGAAAATGAAATTCTAATAAATTTTAGTCTTGGCGTTGTCAACATGAAATCCCTACCTGAGTTGATCTCAAGTAAAACTTTCAAAAGAAAAATTTTCTTTTATTACTAACAACCTTTCGAATTTATTGTTTCTATGACCTTTCAAATTTTGGATCAAAACGTCTTCTTTGAATGAATGCTACTGGGTTTGAATGTCCTACGAAAATACTGCTCATAAAATTTTAGTGTACTTGTATATGCCTAAAATTTTGATTGCAACTTTTCCTGAAAATTTAAACTGAAAATATTTTTAAACTTTGTTAATATTTAATAATTTTACTAACTGTTATAACCTGGGACCGTAACAGTTATGAGAAATGGGCAATAAATCAAGTTTAAAAATTATTTTTCAATTTATTTTCCTCAGAAAAACAAAACTTTTTTATTTCATTTCATATATGTATATCAGATCCTACCTTTATAATGATTTTTTTGATCAAAAATTATACATATGTATATAGGAATAACCGAATATGAAGTTGATTGAGAAAGAACTACAATATATTCTAGCACGCTTTTACTAAAATGGTTTAACTCGACGTATGTTAATGGAAAATATATGGGTTATTTATTCTGCATATATTTTTCGATACTCAAAACTGTGTTTTACATAACACGATGAATAAGAATATAAAAATTACGAGCAAATAAATGCAAGGGAAATACAGTTAGAGTCAAAACATCGATTTCAGCTTAGGTCGACTTAAGCTAATTAAACATTTTGCCAGAGATATATAGGTGTAATGAACCGTTTTCCAAATAATGAATACTTGAATGACGTATTCTTGAGAGTAAATATCTACATACGCTGACGCCCATTAGTGTAAAAACGCAATTTTCGAAGAAAAATTTTTAGAAACTTCTTTTTAAGTATAGCACATGACCTTTAAAAACACCAATTGAGAATTTTAATAATTTAGCTACACTTTTAACACTTGTCTTACACTGTACATCACCCATTAAATTAAACAGAAATTCCCAAAAAAACTGCCAAAACCAACAACAGAAAATCATATCAATATCAACAAAGCAATCATCATCTTCATTACAGCAAGCAGCCAAGAACGAGCTGCACCCATATACTCACATATGTATGTACACATGTACATGTGTATGGGAAGGAAGGCCCCTGAGTCAAAATACATTTGAAAATTCAACAAACAACACCAAAATTAATTAAGTTCATTCATTTCGAACAAATATTAGTGGAGGAATAATCTTGAAAAGCGAAAACTTCAGCGAGTTTTCATTTATGTGGTTCACACATACACACAAACATTTCGATATATATGAAAATATGCGTTCGTATCTTTGCTTTACCGTTATTTCCAATGGCAAATAGAACAGCATACGAGTATCGAAGACATTTATTGATTTCAATCGCATGCCAGCAGCTCATTGTGACCGAGCAGCGCTCAAATTGCCAAAGCATGTCACTTTTCAAAATGTTCAAACGCGCAATATCCCGTACATAACGGCATATCTAGAGATGAGAGTTTGTTTGCATGTGCTAGCACCCCCCCTCGAGGGGGCGCAGCAAGCGACTGTGAGTCTCAGGCGCACACTACTTTTCTATTTGTTTGTATGTGTTCATGTGAGGAATCCAAATATGGGCATACCGTTAGCCCGTTTTTGTTACTGTGTGAAAATCACACTTAGCTCAATACAATGGCGGGGCTTGGCGGTGGGCATGTGAGCATAATTGATAGTATCATTAGTTATGAGGTGTGTGCTTGCGTCGGGATGATAACAGCGCCAATCATTATTGCTGCCGCTCAGTCTAAATGTGCGCTTACGATGCGAGCGTGAGCATATAATAATGAAAATCAATGAGCTCAATTAATTAAGAATATTATTGTGAGGAGGTTAACATTCTAAGGTAAGAGGTGGGGTGTCGAATTTTTTGGCAAATATATATATTTTCTAATACAACGAAGTTGCGGTTATGTGGTAAGCAGTGTGTTCTTTGGCCTCTCAATCATGAGAACGAAATAGAGACTACTCTAGATTATGGATAAAATACATACATATGTGCCTAACTTTAAGACCGACTATTTCACCCGTAGTTTAGGGAGGAGCTTCTTTTTGAGAGCCCTCTGTTACTTTTTATAGCCTGAAAAGGGTATATTAACTTTGTCTCGATGTTTGCAACACCCAAAAAGATAGCTATGAAGTTGTTATATACATAAGTATATAAATGACGTGAGCGCGACGAGCTAAGTCAATACAGCCATGTTCGTCCGTCTCTATATATTCCAACTAGTTCCTAATTTTTTTGAGATATCGGTCTGAAATTTTGCACCCGTCCTTTTCTCACCAGGAAGGTGCTTATTTGCCGGAACGACCGATATCGGACGACTATAACATGTAGCTGTCATAAAAACTGAACGATCGGAATCAAGTGCTTGTATGAAAAACTTTTTCTTTTGACAAGCTATCTTCACGAAATTCGGCATGGATTATTGTCCAAGCCACTATAGCATATAGCTGCCACACAAACTGACCGATCAATGTTCTTGTAAGCAACCTTTTGCATTTGTGAACGGTATTATAGTTTCGGTGCAACCGAAATAAACATTTTTTCTTCTTATAATTTTTTTCTCAATGAAACTTGGGACTATAAAATCTATGCACAAGTATAAGTACCTTACAGCTGCCAATCAAATTTGAACCCATCGAAACGACGTGACATTCACAAAATACCAAATTAATTAAAGAATTTAATTAAATGACAACTTTTGACTTCAACAAATAAATACACATTTAATTTTATCTTATTTCACCGTTTTTCTGGTTTTAACGTTTGCTTTAGCGCCACAAAGGTGTTTATGCCACATAAGAGATGTCATGATGATGATAAAGCTGAGCAAATAAAGACTCGAAAAAAATAATAAATATTAAATAAAATATACGCAAAAGCAGTTATTGGTTGCGCTTGCGGTAAACACGAGTACCACTGGATAAGTAAGTGACTTGACCCGTAATTGAATTTCAATACTTCACTTAGTTATTACTCGATGAAGCAGAACTCAGTGAATAAATAGATTGAGGCTAATCAGATCTGCTACCCTGAAAAAGATGAAACGATTCCAACCAGTATTATTCAAAGGAAACAAATGTGAAAGAAGTATTTTCTCAACGTAATGAGCTGAGTCGATATAACCATGCCCGTCTGTCTTGCTGAGTATACGCGAACTAATCCGTCAGTTTTCGAGATATTAATCTGAAATTTTACACATGTCTTTTTCACTTCAAGAGCTGCTCATTTTTCGGCATCGCCGATATCGGAGCACTATAGCATATCGTTTATTAAAGATCTATCAAAATCAAGTCCTTTTATGGCAAATATTTTTATTTGACAAGATATCTTCACGAAATTTGGCATGAGTTATAGCCAAAGGCAACGCTAAAATCTGCGAACTAATTGTTTAAATTGGACCACTATAGCAGCCTTACAAATCGACCGGCTAGATTAAGATCTTCACAGAAAATAATTTTTCCATATTCAGTGACCTTAATTCGACTTAAGGGTTGTTTAACTAAATCTAAATTAACGCAAAAGTTCTCGGCCTTATCGAGCAACCCTTGTAATTATCGCAATGCAAATTCAAAACAATCACAAACGGATTTACTTTTTGGTTTTATTGAACTTTTCGATTGCTGGAAAATGCTAAAAGTCAATTTGTGAACAACGTTGGCACCATTTAAGCCGCACGTTAGAGCACTCAGCGCAGCCAGGTGGCTACACAACAAGTTCAGGGGGAGGGCTGTTAAAAGAGTTAGGCGGATCCACCAACAATATTCTTGGTAAATATAAACAAACTACTAATTCATGTGTACATGTGTGTGTGTGTGTGTGTATCTAAGAGCTTGTGTTGATTGCTTCGAACGTGATTAATTCCATTGTTTTCCCAGCAAACGCGCAGCAACAAGCGATGTTAATAAGTTAAAACAACAACAGCAACAGCAAGAGTGCATAAATATTTTATTACATACATAAGCATTAACGAACACACACAGACACATGCTGGTTTTGCGGCTTTTTGCTTAATCAACTCGAAAGCTCGACTCTGCCACTGCCGCTTGTTGGTGGATTCATCCATGGATTTGTTGTGCAAATGAAAAGCCAAACATATATACATAGACAATTGTTGTTCTTGTTGTCATCCCAGTTGATTCTTCGCTTCTGTCTTGTATGGCAACTGTATAAACAACAACAATGAAATGTACAATCACTTTCGAAAATGCGCAGGCAATCAGAAAAAATATAAACACAGATTTGTTAAAACAATAACAACAAAACAATTCTCCCAGCAAATAAGCGCCAATTCAGCAAATTATTTGTTTAATTCC